ATACAGTTCTGTAGTTGTTATCGCTCTCTCCAGAGCTGATGGGTTTTTCTTCCTTTGTCTTTTCGTTGAAGTAGTGTCGAAAGTCATCATCTTGATTTTATCAGAGTCTGTCTATATGTTGATTTTATCACTATTATCTCTTCAAATTACCTGTGCCATCCATTTTAGTTGTTGCTGTTCTTGAAAGTCTACAAGTGATGTGATTTCGGTTATTCGGTACAGTTCTTTGTGATTCGGCAACATAAGTGCAAGATGTTCGAAGAATGAAGGTCTTCGCTCGAAGCCATTTTTAAACATCGATCTGAAAAAGCGATTGTATATACAGCTAACAGATGCCTTTATAATTAGATCTGAAACATGTGTTCTATTTAGGAACCTTTAAAACATGAATATCACATTACTTAACTCCAAACTAAAACAGATCCGATATATAAAATTACTTTTATATGAATATTTTTAATGTTCCTTTAACATTCCATTCTTATTTGTGGACCGCTTTTGTGTTTAGACCATCGGGTCAGTGTTGTGTGTGAAGTTAAAATAGCGATTCCCAGAGTGGGTGGTACTGCGCCCACTGAGGCCAGTGTTAAAATCCAAGGCAGAGGTAAAGGTAGCGGGCGGTAGGGTGTGAGGGAAAAAGCGATAAGATGGCATCAGAATCAAATTCCAGATGATAAAATCTAAATCACAGGCGACAAAGAATAAAATTAACATACATTTACATAGGTACCTCCGCTAATTCGCTGAAAAAAAGAGCAAAATATGAAGAAAAAAAATGCCCCAAACTTGGTAAAAACTAAGTTTTATCATCAAAATTTTTATGTTATTATTTTAAGGAAAGACCAAAGTATATTTTTTTAATAATTTATTTATATTTTTTAATCATTTTTAGTATATTCGAAATTTTGGTTAAAAATGTTGTTTATCTTGTCAGCGGGTGGACTATAAATTAGTATAGAAAATATGAGCCTCTTTTTTGTGGTGAAAGACACACTGCCATGGAAATTATTGTAAAAATCAAATAATTGTCGGATTTTTATGAAACTTTCAGGACTTACATATGAATGAAATTATTTTAGAAAAGTTTTTTAAGAAAATGTTAGTAAAAATTAATAAAAATATTTTTTATGTCTTACATCCCACTTAATTTTATGAAAACTCAACAAATTCAACGAAATAATTTTTAATGACTATATTAGTTAAACGCAGAACTACTTGGAGAATTTAAATCATCGATTTTTTTGTGAAAACGGACTGAGTCTGTATATCGTAAAATAAAAAGATGCAATAAATCTTAAACATTATTTAAAGTTTTTAATTGCATATATGATATAATTTTTTTTTATATACGATACAAAATATATTAAGGACACTACTGTCTCAAATTTTCTTTCATGAATAATTAATTTGTTTTCATTTTTTTAAATTATAATTAGAATAATTCATAAGTTTTCAAATCATTTAAAATTAACTTTCAATTTTGTAAAGGTTAGGGAATATTGTTATTAAGTAAAAACTATATTTGTTAATCATAAATCGAAAAGCTTATTACAATTTAAAGTCACCCAGTATTTAAAAAAAATTTAAAATGTTTTTGTATAATTGTAAACGGGCCGACTTTTGTCGCTGCGGTCGCTCATAAACGACATTATCAGAAAATAAGAGCGATAACTATAGTAAATTTAAAGCAAAAGTATCTAAAATTCAATAAAATATTAGATTACGCGGGCTATTTTGTTAAATCTTTAAGATTACTGAGTACTTAAAAATTAAATGAAAAAGGCGCTCACGTTATATTCTTTAATATTCTTTAATTATTTCAACAGATACATCCAACGTAGAAAAACATGGCTAAACATCCATTTGTCATCAAGCTGTAAACAAGCTGTCAGCATCTTAATAAAACAGTTACCGCCATATTAAAAATGCATTTCTGCATTTCATTCTGTGCTTTTCTTTTCCAATTTTATTGTACCATGACACCAAAGAAAGATAAAAGTGATTCTGGAAAAGGAAAAAAAAGAAAAGTTAAGAGAAAAACAATTGTTGATGATATTGTCTCTTCCTACTCAGTTTTAATATGGCAAAATCAACGATCTATACTATTCTTAGAAATAAAGAGACGATCGTGTCTTTCTTTCTCTTTTCCAAATAATAACATCTCTTTCCTTCCCCTTCCACTTACGCCATCAACTCTCCTACATGCGGGTACGGCAAAATTGAAGTGTTTGTCTATATTTTATCTATTTAGTATTGGGTTAATTGTTTTGTTTTTTTCTTAGATTTAATGTTTTTTTATTAGTTTTGTGTATAAACTTGTGCACAAATTACTATTGTAAATGTTTAAATAAGCAATCATCTTGGGACCAGGAACAGATTAATCCATTTTACACTGATTCCTATTGAAAAATAGTTTCGATTTACGAAAATTTCGAGTTATGAACGGGCTTCAGGAACGAATTAAATTCGTGAACTGAGGTTCCATTGTATATAAATAACCTCCAATTAATAAATTCTATAAACATAAGTTACAATAAAAGAATGCCATGGTAACAATAAGACAAATTTTGTATCAGGTTAAATAATTGTTACATATGCTAAATGGATTGTTAGAATCTCGCATCAGTACAGTTGTAAGATGATAATAACGTGAAAAAGTACATTGAAAATAACATAGAAACATAAGGAAAGGATAGCTTACAAAAGGTAATTATTTTAATGCAATGAGTTTTTTTAATTGCAATGCTTATATAGGAGTGAGTAGACTCCTTGGTTGACGCCCACAAATAAATGCAAGCAGCATTCTGATTGGACATATAGTTAAAATATATAAAACAAAAAAAGTTAAGCTGTAATTCGTAGGGAACAAGAGCGAAAAATATTATTTATGATATGGATTTTTTTGGACCGCTTCATTTGCCCTGTAGAGATATAATATTAATTGAATTTTGCCATAAACGTCCTTCCTGAAACACATTGTGTGACTTTACTTTCGTTCAAAACGAAAAAAGCTTTTGTAAAGATTTCTCGTTTGTTTAGGTTAATGGCGGACGTAATGGTTGTTCCTTGGTTAAACATGTCGATCAGTTTTACATCTCTAAATTGTGTTCAATCATAAATGCTATTCGTTCATCAACAAATAAAAGATTATTAAAGAAATTCGGAAGATCAGATAAAAAAAAAATGTAAAAAATGATAAAAAGAACAAGGGAAAAATCCAGTGCCTGTTGCATATTGTTAATTGCATTTTAAAAGTTAACAACTGTTTATTAACAGTGATGATTTCGACACACAAAATTATTAAATGCCAGCAACTTGAAAGGATGAATTTATAAGTTCTAATTTGACAGAAATCTAAAGAGAAGAATATTTTTCTGAATGGAATTTATGCAAGCAAGAACACAAGAACCGTCTTCCAAAGAAAAAATAGATTAGAATTTTTTCTCATCGTGAGCACTTGACAAAAAAAAAACTGTTCTAAGAAATGTTCATTTTTATGTGCGTAACATAACGTCGTTTCTTTTCGACTCGAAGAACAAAAATTTACTTCTTATATATCTTATCTCCTCATTTTCTCGTTACACCTCACAAACTTACACATTCACTGCAATCGAAGTGTCCGATTAAAATTTACTACTGGGATCACACAGTAAAAAAATAAAAAAAAATATTACCAATATTATCATCCGGATAAGAAACACAATGACAAGTATACAGACGCGAATATGTGTGCGTATTTGTTTATTGGAACGAGACAGACAAAGCGTTAAAAGTGGACACCCATTGACAAATTATTTAACTGATCAATCGAAGATGAGTATCGAATAAATACATTTTTTTCAAACGCATTCCAATACTGGCGTTGAAAAGCTTACCTCAGTATCATGTAAGCGCAGAACAAAAACAGTGTATCTTAATTTATATGCCATTGCATATTAAAATGAAGAGAACTATCTAAATTTCCACTTGGAAATCATTTGGAGAAGAAAAAATGATTTTAATGCAAAAAAGACAAACCTTTTGCTTATTCGATTAAGATAATCGAAATCTCATAACTGTTTTTGCAATAAAATATTTTCAGAATTTTCTTTTTAATCTTCACCACTCTTCATATTTTCTCATTTCACCGAGACTAGAGCAACAGACATTCTTCTTAATTCCACATCTCTGAATAAACGTATTCTACCTACAAAATCAACAATATAGACAAAAGCAAATGCAATATTTATTTCCAGGCTGGTGGTACGCTAAATAAGTATAAGATATATGTATATAAGCATTTGATTAACCAGTGAAATATTTGGATGCGCATGCGCATTTTCTAGCTTGAAAGATATCCAGCAAGCACGTCAATATACACTATAGACCAAAAGTTTTGTGATATATTTTGGGTTTAACAATTAGTAGGCGGCTTAGCTTCTTTGGTATAATTAACACCTACGAAGCTGAGATGCTAAAACTATTTAATCCATTGGTGCATTGTGTCTAATATTTTGGAATTTACGCAACTTTTAATTTTTAGGTGATTCCTCAAAATCCAGAGGATGGCTCAAACCTTTTGGCCTATATGATCGATTAATTCATTCATTTACTGCAGCTTTCTAGTTTATTTAATTTTTTTAGATTAAGAATTTTTTTCGATAATATTGTTTTAATGATACACGCCTTACTAATAGAGATGGATTCATACCTTTCCCAAGGGTATTTGGGCGTAAGTGAATATGACGAAGCCAACTGGAATTGTAACTCGGCTCTCCGATTAAGAATTCTGAGCCATTATGCATTATATCACCTGCACATGGCAACCTTACATTCTCAAGCGGTCAGTTACCTAGGTGCTGACCAGGCTCAACATTGCTTAACTTCGAGGATCGAACGGGGTTGTTTTTGTGTCCTCCTACATATTTACACACACACACACACTTGCACACAGACGCACATGCGTATGAACAAATGTATTCCTTTCTTTTTATAAACGGTTAAATCAATAATTATAACAGGCTAAATCTAGCTGCATTCGCTTTGTTCATATCTATCTATCTATCTATCTATCTATCTATCTATCTATCTCATTGTTCATATTCATCTGTCTATCCCAGTCTGTTCATTATCTATCTATCTATCTATCTATCTATCTATCTATCTATCTATCTACTTTTGCAAATTCAGTGTACACAGATGCAGATGCTACACTAGTCTTAGGTAGTCTGTGTCGAGAGGCTCTACTTTGAACTTAGTCAGACTACTCTGATCTGACGGTCACTTTAATGTTCGATGCCTACACATAAGTGAAAGGGCAAGGACAAAAATAGACCAGTCCTCGCAATTAGTATTACGCTAGCATTAAAATTCTCTGATCCCTTTCCTTTTGAACAATGAGAAGGGAGCTGCCGCAGGGTCTGAGCCACCGAAACAAGACTCGTCTTATGTTATGCGCGTCCTGCCTGCCTGAAGACGCGTCTGAAAAGGAGAATACGGTGGAAGAGAGGAATAGATTCTCTACTGACCTCACCTCGAAGGCCAGAGAGCGAAGCACTGATTCTAGCAAGCGAGCTGAAATATTCTGATTCTTGGTAAAATAAAATGTCGCAATGACGTCATTTTTACAGGTACTACGCTAGCCTTAAAATAAAATTTGTCAGTTGCGTATTCAGGTAGTATCTTAATATAGGCGATATCCGGTAACCTTGCAAGTACATTATGTGCTCAGGTGCATGTGTACATCTATGTACATGTATGTGTGGGTAATGGAAAAAATTGTTTATGTCAACAGAAAGCTAGCGGGCAGGTATTTTGGAAGGTAGAGCAGTATAATTATTCGCAGAGTTGAATCTTTTCAGTAAATGGTTAAAAGAATACATCAAAGGCGACAGAAAGACAAAGCGACGCTGGAGCAGCATCCATTCTCTCCATTAAGAGACGATAGTGTGCTTTCTACCGCTTTCGTCTCCTGCCGACATATTAACTGCAATGACGCCGGCGTCGAACCGTTTGATGTCTACTGACTGCTTATTTACTTTCACACCAAGGACGCAATCTCTCTCCCGTTCTTCGCTCGCTTTTTTTTCTCCTTTCTTCAGCTTTCAACACGACTATATGTGCGCGTGACTTTGTCTATTTATCTCTAAATATATCTGTGGCACTCTTTCTCAGCCAATCACTGTTTCTTTATCGCAATAATTTGACATTTGTAATCAGAACTTTCCTTTCAATTGATGGTCGGAATCGTATGTGTGCTCGTAATAATGATAATAGTAATATCATAATATTAGCAATAATGATAATAGTAATAAGTGAAAAAGAAGCAACAATCATTTTATTACAGTCATGATCGTGCAGTCATAGCAATAATAATAATAATAATAATAATGACTTTGATAGGAAGCTATCCATTTTTTATGCGATAGTCTTCTTGTCGTAATCGATTTTCTTTTCTTTCGCTAGCACAATCATCAGTACCAAAATATCCGTTATTCTCATCACCATCTCTATCACAGATATAATCCTAATTTGATGTTGATGCTTATCATCAACTGCCGCATCATTCCATCATCGACTTCCGCAGTCTGTTTTCTAAGTTATCGTTCATATTTTCTCATCTTTTCAGCTTCCTTTTCCTCCCGCGTATATTTACATTTGCACCTGTTCTCGTTTGGCTCCCAGTGTTATTCGACGTCTTAAAAAAAGCAAAACATTTATTATTGTTTTGTTTAATGAGGTTTTACACCAGTAATATATGTTGACTTGTTAGCAAGTCTTCTTAATACTACAGCACACCTCTTTGTATTCTTGCTGGTTTTAGTGTTCATGTTGTTTGGAAGCTTTTAATCCTTTATCGGATTTCCAATTCACATTTCCAATTCTTAATACAAGAATCGACAGAACCGTTTCAGGCGCGCTGATAAATAAACAAAAAAAATAATAAATAAATAAAGTAAAATAATTAAAATAAAATAAAACTTAATTGCTAATTGCGGCGTTCTGTCATAATCATTTGTTTTAACAAAGAATTTCCAGCAATCTTGGACCTTCGTGCCTGCAAAATATCGGAGTGTGAAAGGGACAGTTTTTCATTTGACACCGCTATTATTTTAGCTATCTTTACTCATCGGTAATGTTTATTGTTTTATTATTAGAATTGTAATAAAAAATAAACATATCATTTGTTTTTGTTCTTGTCAATTTACAACAAAAATATTAAACACTATATATATATATAAGATTGGTTATTTACAAGACTAATTTTATATTTACAACATTCTAAAATCTAATACAATTAGGACTAATGCAATGCAATATTTATCATGTATAGTGGGTCAGCCAATTTGTATTGGTTATAAATAGAAATAAAAACTGACCTTCTACAATTTTTACAATATCAAATGTAACAAAGACAAAACAAGAGAAATAATCAAGTAGAAGAAATTATGAATTTGTTCAACAATAAATATTTTTTATAAACACAACAAATACATAATATATAGTGCAAAAGTTAATAAACACAATAGAGTTCTTTGGTGTGTGTGTGTTACTGAAAGAATTTGAGCTACTGTACTGTATGTGTGAAAATGACAAGGTTTAGTTAGCTATATTTGTTTTTATAGGAAAATTAAACAGTTGTTTTTGTTTTTTGTATTAAATAGAAAAAAGTATTGTTCTTGACTCACTGATTGTTATCACTCGTTAACCAGAGATTCTTCTTGTGGAATAGAATATTTTGTGGGAGTGAGAGTTAAGCCTGAAAATGGTTGACAAGGTTTGTTGTTGTATTGAAGATAAAGTTCGTATCCTTTGCTGTGTTGATTTCCAATGAAGTCAAGTGAATTGGTTCAATATTTTAAGTGCCCACTGACCAAGTCGCGTCGAAGTTTCGTTTTTATTAGTTCTCTTGGTCACGTGGTGAGGCTCGTGAACATGTTTACATTTTATGGCGTCAACTAGAGGTCAAAATTTGGGTCGGTACCTTCGGACGTAGTTGACGACACCTAATTAATATTTTACAACCAATCAAAATACATCAGTTGTTATATTTGGTTGGGAGACTCTATGTGTTTAACTTGCACAAAATTTAAGATTTAAAAAAATGTAGGAATCTGATTCTACACAAGTACCAATTTATGAAGAAATAAATATGAAAATAATTTCTTATTCATAATAAAAATTTAGTAAATTATTAAAATATGTGAACCAACTATACGGAAATCTTTATTATTTACCATTTTATAAAATTCGAATCGATTGTCAATTAGCTGCTAATTTGCGAATTATTCTAATAAACAATATAATAAATAAAAAGTGTTTATTATTTTTGTTGTAAATTCTCAAGAACAAAGAAAATAAATAAATTCACTTTCATATGTTTAAGTTTTATTACAGTTCTAATCACCGGTTTTTAAAACAATAAACATTGCCGAGGAGTGAAGGTAGTTAAAACAATAGCGGTGTCAATGGAAAGCTGTCCTTTTGACGCTCTATTCTTTTTCGGGCACTAAGCCCCAAGTTAGCCGAATTTCTTTTTGATTCCTACCACTAGATGCTGTTTAGTTGAAGATGCTGAAAGTCATAATTTTCTTCGTTTTCGATTCTCATAATAAATCTGTTTACATCAGCATTAATTTTTCGGCGTTGTGCAAGAAAAGAAAGATGTTGATTTGTGTTCATTTTTTTTAAGTTCATATAGAACCCAATATTTTCGAAATTCAGTGTGTTTCCTTGAAAACACACTAGTAAAATTAACTGCAACAGTAAACAAAGACAATTCTAAATTTTCACGATAATTATGTAAAATCAGACGCAGGGAACAATTTCATTTCTGTTTTGAACAGTCGACAATTTCTATTTTATTGAGTCTTGCATGTTTTGGCTTTGATGTTCGTTTGAATACATTTGCCAGGGGCTGCTTTTATGAGGAGGTCACTTACTCTTTTTAAGTTTTCTTTGCTCAATTATTCTCATGTCATTTTATTTACAATTTCTTTTGTCTCATGAATTATTCACGTTGTTTTTTTATCCATTTTTTATTTACTAGATTTTATATTTTCTCGTCTATTAAGATTCTTTTTATACTATTACTACTACTACTGCTACTACTACTACTACTACTACTAATAATAATAATAATAATAATAGTGCAGATTAAAAGCTGAACCTGATGGTTTTATTCTTACTGCACATGACCAATGCTTGGTAACTAAGTAAACATAATGAAAAATTTTGTTAATCTGAAATGCAGCTTCGGTGATGAATATCCAGAAACAATTGACCATTATATCAGGTTGTACGGTGTTAGCATCCACCAAATATAATTAAAACTCGGCATGACAGGGTGGATCGATATCTGCACTGGAAAATCTGCAATTCTTACGCGAAGAAAACTGCAAGAAATTAGTATGAACACTACCTAGACCCGCTTACCCCTAAAAAAATTACCTCTAAAAAAATTATGGGACTTTACATTACACAAAGATAGAACAATCAAAGCTAATCGCCTAATAAGAGTCATCAAAGAACACAAAATGTTATGTGCTTTCTTATGACATGGCACAGTGGAATAATGATTAGCGGAGAGCCGAATTCGAATTTCCTTGGGAAAGATCCGAATCCATCTTTTCTCCAGCTATGAGTAAAATAGCAGGGCAGACTAGGTTTTATAACCTTGGGTGGCAAACAGACTAATAGAAGGAATCTCTGAATCGAAACCGGATCGCACTTTCTTAAAAGCGACTGAAGAATGCTTGTGAATCCAAATTCCCACTGAAACTCTTACCATTTGCACGTCCGAATGAATACGACCTCTGCTACGCTTGGTCAGCTTTCGTTTGGATTCGGCGTCAAAAGGAGCCCAAAGTTGCATAGGGTTCGACAGAAACTAACTATGGACATGGCAGTCCCTGTAGACTGTATCTTTGAAGATCTTCAAAAAACAAAAAAAAAAACTATTAAAATATAAGGATTTTGAAGTGGAAATCTAAAAAAAAAAAAAAAAATGTGGCACATGAAGACATCATTAATTCTAGTTGTGGTTGGACCCGTCAATTTGATTGGAAATGGTTCTGGTAGAATCATTGAAAGAATCCATGGAAGCCCATGTCTTAAAGAAAAACAACAAAAAAATGTTCTCACACTTTACGAAGGTCTTTATCTATGTAAAATGTTGGTGGTTTTATGTTATTTTATTTTATTTATTTATTTATTTT